GACAAGTCCCACCCAATCTAACATATGATTGGTTGGCTGAAAGCTATTGACACCAAAGCATAAAAAAAAATGGCAAAGATGCCGATGTGCTAGGTATTGATAAATCACAGACAAATGCAATTAGGAAGAAAATATGTTTCCCTCAAAACACAATTAAGAATGCAGTTTAGTTGCATGAGGGTACTTTAAGAGGTCCTCGGCCTCCGCAAACAACGTTACAGAAGAATTATTTTCAACACAGTCTCCTTTAGCTTCAATGCATTTGGTCCATCTATGTTCTAGCTTCACTATCCCTTTGTGGAAGACGGTCACATCTTGAGCCTCCAGATTTTCCTCAAAATCATGCGTGACTTCAGCAACACTCTGAAAATAGCAACCAGGCAAGTTTGGGAAACAGGTAGAAGTCAGACAGTGCAGGTGATGCAAAGAAGGTTCAAGGGGCAACAGTTTAAAGCCACATTTGGCTGCTTCTGGAGCAACAGCAGCAGCTCGAAGAGTTCCTCTCTTTTTTTGTGGAGAGTGGCGTACGGTTTTATAGTGTACAGTTATGTCCCATAATGTGAGTATTGTTTCTTGTTTGTAGGTGAGGCCAAAACCTTTCACAAGACCCTGGTAGAAACGTAATTGAAGTGCACCCCAAGAAAGACGTCTGTGAAGATTCTCAGTCATCCAGGTCATGGTTATTCACGTAGTTTAATCGCAGCAATTGGACTTGCTTGAGTTTCTTGAAGTCTCATCCAAGAGGCTTCATCAGTTCTGACTGACTAGTTGGGAGTTCCAGATACTTACATGTGTTAATGGCTCCTTAAGGATATAAGTATCTGGAACTCCCAACGAGTCAGTGAGAACTGATGAAGCCTCTTGGATGAGAGGTGGAACGTCTTCAAGAAACTCAAGCAAGTCCAGTTGCTGCGACAAAACTACGAGAACATTCCAAGAAAGTGTTGTGGAAATTCTGGAAGAGGTTGACGTAGGATGAGGAACCCATCACAGAGACACATCGTAGACTCAGATGACTTATGTTAAAACTAGGTTTACTGGTATCAGGAGAAGTGGCACTAACAGAACAGCATCAATTCTCAGGATTTCTCACACCTTCGGTCTTATAGCCTCCTTCGATGGGAGCCACATCCAGATCTATGGGTGAGAGGGAAACAAAGATAGTCTGGCGCCTTGGTGTAATCTGGTCTTGAGAGGTGTGGAGGGAGTGCTTGCCTGTCCTCCTCCAATAGATCTACATGAGGTCAAGAATCTATAGAAGATTTGTAGTATACACATCTGCTATAAACACTACTGTTACATGAAGGGGTCAATCAAAGGAGCTAAGGGGAAAAGTTCAATACCATCTCTGGAAACTTCAAGAGAGGAAAGTAATACTTCCTTCACAGAAAGCAGTCCTCCATCAAGGTCAATGTCACAGTTTAAAGAAAATGTTCCTGCTCTGCATCTAAATTTACTGGCTTCCTTGTTGCTCATGTTCCACCTCTCGTCCAAGTTACCTGAAATCTGATTCGGCAGATGCCAACAGACAAACCGATGGGTAAACAAGCATCACTGGAAACGTACCTCTGCCAAAGCAAGAGCCAAGAAAAATACAGTAACTCTGAAGAATCGACGTACCTTTAAGATTCTACCTTAGTGTCCTGCTACAACTGCCTGCCTTCACCTCAGCCGAAACTCCACAGGCGTCAGTGGAAATATTCCATCACTAGCTCCAATAAAAGGCTGTATAAGGAAATGTATGCAGTATGGGAGTGAGGCTGTATGTTGTTTCTACAATCGTAGGTTTACCAGACTGCCTGGTGGCCTTCAACCTGAAAATCTGCTGTTTTTTTACTTTTACATTGAATTTTTGTGTCGACTTGATGGTCACATGCATGAATTTTCTGCCTTTGTCAGGTTTTTATACTGAACATCAATACAAATGCATCTAGCTTGTAATGCATGTATCCAGGGCAGCTCAACAGTACTGACTATACAGACGAGGAAGGACTAATTAAAGGAACATAAAGTGTCTTATTAAGGTGTTGCACCACCAGAGCAGCTTCAGTGCTCCTCCTCCTCGACACTGGTTCCCCAAATCTTTGGAGCTCTACCAAAGTGATTAAACACCATTTCCCCATAAATATTTAGTGTTTTATGATGGCATTGGTCCAAAATCTACAACAGTTGTTCAACTGAGTTCAGATCTGTTGATTTGTGAAGGCCACAGTAATAGATTCATATTATTCTCAAACCATTCAGCGCCCCCTCGTGGGAATGGAGGCATCATCATCATCACTCCAGCAGGATAGATATGTTTCATAACAGGATGAAGGCCATCACTCAAAACCACTTTGCATTGACTTTCAGTGCATCACACCAGGTTTTTCCTTTAATACGTTTCCACATGCATGATCAAAGCAGCGCCGTTAGGGATGTTAGAATTATCCCCAACCAGGAAAGTTGTGAACCAGAAAACAAATATAATAAGCTGCATCACTGGTGCATGAGATATTATACACAAAATTCACAAAATATTTAATTATTTGAGGCTGTAATTTAATCTTTCACATGGCCAGCGGAGACAACGGAAACAAACCATATCTGTAAGATTGATAGAAAACTGACAGAACTTCCGGTGGAACGAGTTCATCCGCAAACATCCAGCTCCCTTTGTTTCCAGCCCTTTCTTTAACAGTTGCATCACTTCTGGAAAAAACTTTCTCGTGTTGCTCAACGGCGCTCACAGATATAATCTAGTGCTGGGATGCGTGCACACACATGCACAAACACTCCCACACACAAGCAGCCTTCACACAAACTGATACAAAGTGCTGCCGGTTTGCATTCCGCAAAAAATCCCCAGACCACACTTTAACCAGGGCAATAGAATGTGACAATATGACAGTAAAGACAAGATCGATACTGATAAGGGTTATATAACTTGGCTCACAACTTTCCACTTTATGGCACTGCTGCACTTAGCCCTCTGGATGCGATAACACACATCACAAAACTCAAAATGTCACTAATGATATATCACTAACAAATTATCTCAGTTCAGTTTAGTCCGCTGTTATCTAGACAGTTTGTACACAGCCCTGTGATTGTTTACAACAGATATGATGTCTTTCACACTTCTGATCTGCTTCTTGCATAGAACCTTAAACGTGCAGTGCAGAACTTTTGTCTTCCCCTACAGGCAGTGAGAGTATTTACACAAATTCAAAGCGTACCTTTAACATATGCCTCGCCGTCAATCAAATTAATTTTTTATTTAATATTCTTTTTTTTTGTCGCATCAGAAATTTGTTGTCCGTGAACTCCATCATACGTGCTGCAGCCTCCTCAAACCACGTGTCCACTGGGGCGATTTTCCTCGCACAAGTTTGCGTCGCTTCTGATTATCACTCGCTTGATAGGCGTGCACTCGCGGGCCACGGGGTGGTCACATGACAGCTGCTTTCCCATTCACCAGACGCCAGACCTGTAGAAGCGGCGAACCAACATGTCGGCTCGGCAGCAAACTTTCGCTTTTATTACGAAAACCGTTCAGCGAAAAATATTTCTGAAAATATTTGAGGCAGGAAATAGGCCATGCAGTTGCTGAATCTGTCCTCATTTTTAGTTCAACAACGGCTAGTTTAGCTGTTTTACAAAGGTTTCGCGAGGCGTTGGATCTGCGCTCCCTGCGCCTCATTTGCATAAAGTAGAAGTCTAGTCTACTTTATGCAAATGAGCTGCGGGCAGCTCGCGGGCGATGCTATGCCTCGTCACTCAAAATGCCCCGCAACACTCCAGAACAGGACAAAGGCGTTTCACATAGACAATGAATGGGAAGCGGGATTTTGCCAGATCCAGTGGACACACAGCATCAGTCTTCATCCCTACAGTTGCTCCCCTCCTAGACTCTAAAAAACCTAATATTGTTAAATAAAACACATTGCTACTGGTGCACTGGTATAGAAACCAGACTGCACAGAAACCAGATTTAAAACTCCAATAAAGTGCAAAAATGCAATAATATTCTGGCAGCTGAGGTCCCGGAAACGACTGTAAAACAACAGAAAGTGACAATCTCATGAACAAAATGACAGTTCCTTGAAAGAAAAATGTGTATTTAAAATATTATTTTAGGATATTTACATGTGCAAAAACAAAAAGATTACATCTAAATATAGTTAAGTAATGTTGGGATCCAATACTGAGGCCTAACACTGCAGAAGAGCACCACTGTTAGAAAATAAAATAAACCCATCCTTAAAATGACACAGATGTAATTCTGAAGAAGAATGATACAAAAAGTTCTTTTTTTTTTTTTTTTTTAATTATATGGATGCGATAACAAGGTTGAAAAACTTGATTTGAGGAGAACTTTATTAAGTTCATTAGGTTCTTCAAATGTAACTCTCATGCAGCATTTCTCAGATATGAAACATTTAAACTCTTGCAGACTTAAGATTATCAGATGATTAAAAGTGCTCCAGTGCACTGTACTTTATGTACTTGTTGCACATCTTACACGCAGAAATCGTCATGCACTATCAGGGAATTAGAGGAGAAATGTGACAAATGAAACTGTTGGGCCACTTAACATCGTCACCTGTCTGTATCTTCCTTAAGTGTGCAGCACAACAACTTAGACGTATGCAATGTGTACTCATGTCCAGAATAATCGTGTTTTCCTTAAAATCATCAACTGTCTGTTGATCTGTACATTTGGACATTTGGTTTGCAAAATGTAGAGAAGTTAAGCTGCTAAATGTTAGAGTGACACTGGCAGCTGATGCACAGTACAACAGCATGGATTAAATCCTACTTGGCCTCAGGGAAGCATCTGAATGGAATAGAAGTTTTTTGGCACAGAAACAAAAAAGTGAGGAGGAGTTAGGCTGTAATTGCCCGGGCACGTGCGACGCTCATCCCGACATCTCCAGGATCGAAGCCAACTTCTTCGCAAATTCCAGTCAGTCGACACGGATTGCAGTTTCACTTTCTCTTGCCCACCTGTATAAAAGCAGGTGCAGCTCAGCACTCTCGACAGCAAACACCTTCGCTCTCCTGAAGAGACTCACCGAAGCAGCCAAACCTACGAAGAAACAGAGACATGGCCTCTAAAGTTGCAGCTCTGCTCTTGCTGGGTATCATCTGCCTTGGGCTTGCAGCAGGTAAGACGCATGCATGCAATGAAAAGACAACATTTCCAGTTTGGGAATGTTTTAATTTTGTTTAAACTCTGCTCTCTCTGATGCATCTTTCTCTGTTTCTTCCTGCAGCTGATGTTCCCGTGGACTGCTGTCTAAGTACTGCAGAGAAGCGCTTACCCCACAGGCTCGTCGCCAGCTACCAAATTCAGGATGCTGGGAAAGGCTGCGATATCAAGGCCACTCTGTAAGTAGCAACCATGTGCACAGTATTGTGTTTTTTTCTGATGGTTTATACATTTTTCAACGAATCTGAAATCTAACCCACTTCTTAATCTCTCAGGGTCATTACAAAGGCTGGAAGGCAGCTGTGTCTCGTCCACCCCGATGGGAACCAATGGGTGCAACAGCTCATTAACGCCGTGGACAAGAGAAAGCAAACTCAGTGAATGAGGTAAATAAACAAGTGCAAAGTGCTCTCCAGGCTTTTTAAAATGCATTAAATATTCACTGGCTCATCACTCGTTGCTCTGCTTTCTTACAGGAGCAAAGACAAGGACTCTGAAGATGTGGCTGAAGACTAAAGTGGGAGACAGACTCTCTGGTGTCTGAGCAGCCGTCTTGTACTGTAGAAGATGTCTGAGAGGATGACAATCATCACCTCTTACATCTTATTTATGATGCGTGACTCCATCCGGCTAAATGTACAGATCTGCATGTGTTTTTTTTGTTTTTTTTCTCATTAGCGGTGACTGTTGCGGTGTAATTGTGGTTGTGGATGCCTCTTTCTTCCTTTTTCTAATTATGAGTGACTGTAAAAATAGAAACACCTGCCTTGACTTGCCCAAAGAATTTTTGTCGTTATCGTGGTACTGTATGCTGCTCGTGAAAACTCACATTTACGGTGCCGTGTTTGTGACAACTTGTACAAAGTGTTGTAGATGATGATTTGTGGACATTGAAATTGTTTCTGAAAGCAACTTTAAAATAAACTTCTATACTATTTTGTAAGTTCTTGTTGCTGCCTTTCATTTAAACTTAAACGTGTCAAACAGTGTGACGCCATCATGCATGAAAACCTAAAACATACAGTTAGTTTTTCCAATTTGACTCAGTGAAATAGCTTCTTAAATTGTGGATTTTTCTTAAATAGATGCATTTTAGCTAAACAGTGTTTAATAATATAACTAATGTAAAAGTACATGAAAACAAATCTGTGCTTAAATAAAGCTCAAGCAAAAAAAAAAAATACAGTGAATAAAACAGAATGAAGTGTAATAAAACAAAATAAAACAGTGAAACAATCAGATAACAAAGGGAACAAATACAATTTTGTGCAAACATTAATAAAAGGCATTAAAAAAA